TCTTCAAAAAGAAGAAAATGCTGGATTGGTGACAACATGGGTGAACCCAGGGACACTATGCTAAATGAAATAAGGCAGGTACAGAAAGGCAAATAACATAACGGTATATGCACATTTTAAAAGTCAAACTCGAAGAAGCTGATATAAGAATGGTTAATATTTTTCTTCAAGGCTTGTGAAGTTGCAAAAGAGATCGTAAATAAATTTATGGGTGCCAATTTCAGTCTTGCTATATTCCATTGTTCGTGCTTTATAAACAGTGGTCAGGCAAAAGGCCCATCTTTAATCACTTTCAGTGAAGAGGAACAATGGATAACCTGTGGCCTCTGACTGCCAGTGTAAATAAGGGAGTCAAAGATAACTGCAACTTTTATTGTAATCATGTAAGGAGATTCCTCCATGGTAAACAAGGAAATGAAATGGTCTCACTAGTTAAAATCAGATGCTTAGTATACCTGTAATCATGAACTAGGGACTCAGAAACTCTATAAATTATAAATCCATAATATGTTCCTGGGGTCATATTATAGGTGGGAAAAACAAGATTATTTTTTATAACCTATGTATATCACATCTCAATTAATTTTCTCTTTCTTACTCTTTTAGGATGCATGAGAAAATAAGATACTTTTCATAAACTATAATATTAAAAATGAAATGAATTAAAAATTCAAACACATGTAATGGAAATTAAAAAAAATCATTGTTCACTGGAATTTCAGGGCGCCCTGGGAAAAGTGATTGCAGGGCTAGTAGGATTCCCCACTCAAAGGACTTAAGGGAGCGAGGGAGTCTGTTGTGCTACTCAAAATGCTTCCTATCAAAGGGAAAATCATATATGCACAGGACAAGCTTTTAGGGAACGTATGATCTTCAGGGGATCAAGTTCAAGATAAAAATGGAGAAGGGTGAGATGGAAGATGTTCATGTGTTCCTTGATGTGATCTTCTATGACCTAACAAATCGTGAGGGGAAAATCATATTCTTTTTGTGGTTTAATTTCTATTAGAAGGTGGTGAGGTGGTAGAGGTACAGTCTCAGCGGCAGTGGTGGCTAGTTTTATATCAATTGTTATAAGCTGGAGTCATCGCAGAGGAGGCAATTTCAATTAAGAAAATGCCTACATAAGATTGGGTTGTAGGAAAGCCTGCAGGGCATTTTAATTAGTGTTTGATGTGGGAGGGCCCATCTCATTGTGGAATCTCCAGGGTGAGCAAGTCCTGAGCAGCACCCTCTGTGGCCTCTGCATCAGCTCCTGCCTCCCGGTTCATGCCCTGTTTGAGCTCCTGTTCTGACTTCCTTAACTAAGACAGAAGTCTCATAAAGTCCGAGAACATTTAGAAGCAGTGAATGATCCCGAGAAACATGAGAACACAGACAGAATCACTTGACCAATTCTGGGTTTCCTGTGGATCTAGAATTGAGGCTCAAGAAAAATATGCTTTTTCACTAAAGGAGGAATGTCTTCATGGCTTAGTGTTCAACTCTATGCCCATTCTCTGATAATTTGAACAATAAACACACTTGAAACGGAGAGATGGCTTGTTGGGTCTAAAAAGGACCAGACACCAGGCTTAGTGGAATTTTCTGAGCCTGGCCAGAGTTTGACTACCTGTCTCAGCAAAACTGCCGCTGCCCAGCTACTGCTAATGTGGTGGAATATTATTGGCCCTTACTCCTCACCCCATCCTGAGGTCCCCACCCTCTTTCTCAACCCTATACAAGCGAATGCCTGTTACAATGAAGTGAGACTCTGCTGCATCAGGTCTTCACAATTCAGTGTGGTTCTCTCTGGTGACTAGGAGGGGAGATCTGGGTGGTCAACACTCACCATCTCTCTCAGTCTTGGGAAATGACTGGCTGGACTGGCCCTTCCCACAGCCCTGACTGCTGGAGGACCCGGCAGAGTGGTGCCCAATGTGGGGCCGCCCCGTGTGAGGAATTCATCCCTTTCGGGAGTACGCTGATGGGACAGTCTGTCTTTGGTGTGTGTACTCCCATAAATTATTGGGCAGTCTTTATTTAAACCAAACCCCAGTCCCTTATGCCAGCCTAAGCCTTTGTATCCATCCCTGGACCGTTTAGGGAGTGCCCCCTGGCCTGCTGGGGAACCACGCCCCCTAGGTCCTCCCACTACTCCCTTTCAAATTCCCGGGTTCACAGACATACGTGCAGGCAAAACACCCATACACGAAATAAAATGACAAAAAAATCTGTTTAAAAACCAGATAAATTATAACAAACTTCAGAACACTGGAAAAATCACGATCTTAAAAAGCAAGAAGATGGAGGCATGGCTCGGTGGTTGAGAGCACCTGCTACTCTTCCAGAGGGCCCAAGTTCAGTTCCCAGCATCCACATGGTGGCTCACAAACTTCTGTAACTCCAGTTCCAGGGGATCCAACACCCTCTCTGGCCTCAGTGGGCACCAGACATGAATGTGGTACATATACACAGGCAAAGATTCATGCACATAAAATAAAACGAAACACATCTTTTAATATTTTCTTAAAAGCAGGAATCAGAGGACTCAGCAATTAAGAGCACTTTTGCTCTTGCAGGGGAATGGAGTTGGTCTCCCAGTACCGTTGTGAGATGGCTCACAACTACCACATAACTCCTGCTTCAGGGAATATTATGTCTTCTTCTGGACTCCAATGATACCTGCGCTCATGTGTACATACCCACCTCACACGTTCGCACAAATTTAAAAAAGATCTCAAAATTAGTCACAAGAAAAGGTGCTTCCCGCAAAGGGAGATGAGCAGAGTTTGGAAGTCCATTGATGGATGCGATGGTTGGAAAAATGTAGTTCTAGTGACAGAAATAGAAACTGCAACATAATGTGAGCTTAACAATAAAATGGGCTTCCTCTGATGATGGATTTTATGCCTAGCAATGAAGTTACTGGAATAATTTGCCTTGCCTTTAGAGATTCAGTACTACAAGCATCAATGTCACCTGTCCCTCTACTTCACGCCCCCAGATTATAGCTGATAAAAAACAAACCAAAGACAAATGAAACTCATTGAAATACTAATGAGATCTGCTTGAAAATGGGTAGGAGTGAAGTGTAGGCATTTAAAGTCATTTTAAGCCTTACTTCAGTATCTGAGTGCTTATAGCAAGACCTATGTCATCAGACATGCAGTATTCCCTGCTTTCCTATGGCTTGCTGTACATTCAAACAGTCTAGGAACAAATATCTAATTAACTGTTCCTTAGTTACGATTCTAAGGGACAGAGAACCTGGGAAAGTAATCATCTGGTGATTTATAAGGTTGATAAAGAACTTATCAGTTAGTTGCTGGCTAGGGGTGTGAGAAAATATGTAAGTGGATGACATGTTTTTAGGGTGAAGGAAGTAGTCTGTATCTTGATGTTATAAAAATACATGTGTTAAGATTCATTGATGCATATACCAGAAAAATTTGTTTACGGTATGATCAGAGGAAACCAAACCCATCTCACCACAATGATAGCCTTGACTAGTTGTATGAGGACTGCAGGAGCCACCCATTTTCTCCATCTCTTTTAGGTATCTATTTACACACAATAATCAATTTCCTTTAATAGTCCCTCCTCCCACTGTTTTATATCAATTGACATTAACTTTATAATTTCTTTCACACATTCTAGGACATTCTAGGAAAATCAAGGTCGGATTGAGAATGAATAAAGAGGAGCGATCATCAGCCATGGATAGATGGAAGTAACTGATAGAGACTTGGGTGTTCCTTTAGGAGAGATTAGTGTTCTTCTGTTCATAGGTGTATATGATGATGGGCACAGCAGTAGCTGCTGCTATTACTCGTTATTTACAAGTATTAGAACAGTGTGCTGCACAGTGAAAGTAGTGTATAGCATAATGACATGGTTCAGCACTGGTGGCATATAGATTCAGAGACACTAGGGGGCACCTCTCCTTATCTTTGCCTGCTGGTCTTCATGCTTTTATGCAATCCTTCCCCCTGAGCATAGGCAGAACTTGTTTCTAATCAAACGCACATGGCAAAGGCAGGGGTACAGCTATTGGGGTTATGTCATATGTAAGATACTCTTCCTGGCAGACTCATTCTAGAGGTTCTCTTTTCTGACATGAAGAAGAAGCCATGCTGGAAAAGCTGGAGAGGCAAGGCCTATAGATGCTATAGGTAACTGCTAGGGACTGTGTGAGGACTTCAGGAGCTGAGGGTGGCCACTTACAAGAGGCTGTGCTTTCAGACCTAGATATAAAGCCCGCAGTGAATTTGGAAGTAGATTTTTCCCCTGTTGAGCCTTTACCTGAGAACCTTGATCAGACCTTGCTTAGTCACAGCCTTGTACTCCAACCCAGAGGACCTGGCTAGGCTGAGCCCCCAGTTGTGACATACTAAAAGGATGAGTTAATGTGCATTGCACTAAATAATTATGCAGCAACAGAAAGGGAAAAAACCTCACACAATTCTCAATATCCATTCCAGTCTATTAGAGTGTTTCCTGTACTTCAGAAGCTAAAAGGACATTTCCCACATTCCTGTACAATTATGAGTGCAGACTTCTGAGACTTGGCTGGCAGAGGCAAGGTGGACCCTGTGCTTCGGACAGCTCTGCTGCTGAAGATGATTGTGAAGATGTTTGGCTGCCCTACCGCAATTTAGTCATGAGTGCATGGGAGCAGAGGGGCAAGGAGCTCGGCATCTGTCTGCAGATGGATCATGGTTCTGGAGGTAGCAGGAGTAGTGATGTCCTTTCATTTTGGCAGTTTCCTAATCATAGAAAAATTAGCAGTGTTCCTGGTAGCCTGGGAGTGGTGTGGACTTGGATCTTGTTTTTCAAAGTTCAACTAAGTTGGTCCTTCTAATGATGATACAAGTCGCTTAACATCCAGTAATAAAGTCTCCTGCCTAAACTAATTGAGAATGAATTCTGTGTTTCTTGCAACGAGACTCTAAACTAATGTAGAAATGGCACCCTCAAATGGTGTGTAGAATGCATAATAAATGACATTCACCTTTTAATAAACATTTTAATATTTAATATAATAGATTTTAATACTTATTACAAAGACAAAGTCACTTTATAACATTTAATGCAAAAGTCATAATACACTAGTTCAGTTTGACACAACGAAATATTTTGAATATTAGGAACAACTCATTTGCTTAACAAGGCAGCAACTATAAAACTATAATGTGTTTAGCTTTTTCTCTTGCAGACTCAGAAAATACACTGTTTTGTTAACCTTCATTTATAATCTTTTGAAATTCAAAAATCTCCGCGAGTATTTATCTTTAGACAAGGCTAAAATACCATATTCAGTAATCTTCACAATTCTGACTTCAAAATAATATCAAAAATTAACAACATATTCTTTAAGAAAGGATTTCTTGTAAATATAACTGACAAAATATTCAATCAAGTGTGTGTAACAGTGCCTTTGTATATAAGCACGGACCATATGTTTTTCTAGAGCTATTGTCATATAATTTAACAATGGTTACATTATAGCAGATGTGATGGTTTGCATATAAACTATTAACTAAGATTGAAAATTGGGACATACATTAGCAAACCATTTCGGAGTCACAGCAGAAAGACTTGGTTCTAAATGATCCCTTTAAAGTAGTCATTTCCTTGAAAAGACAGTGTAATCAAATCTTAAAGATGCTACCAGTATTTGGCCAAACCTAACTCAGAAATTTTCGAAGACTCAACTTGAAAACTGTTTAACTTCATTGAAAAGATTGTATGCTACATCACACAGCCCTCCCTCTGTGTTAGGTTTTAGTCACAGCACATCCTTGCCAAAGACTGACCACACCAATTCCTTCCCAGAAAGGGAAACTTCTTTGGTCACCATTAAGGAGTTCTGCCTTTCTTTTTCTCTTCCTTCCTTCCTTCCTTTCTTTTTTTTGCTTCTATCCAAGCCAGAGGGCTTGAAATCAAAGTCTAGTGTGAAGACAGAAGCTCCTCAGGGTGATCCCTGCCCCATTTCCTAAGTCAATTGCTTAATAAATTCCTCTTGTTGGAAATGGCAGAAGACAGGGCAGGTTCACATGGTTTGATTGTTTTTTTAAAGTGCTATCGAAGTCCACACATATTTAAATGGACTGTCATATAATATCTGACCTAGAAGAAGCATAAAGTAAGTAAAAATTACTCACCGACGTCAGAGAGTCACACCTTTTAAGTAGATGCTGGCAGTTACACATAGTACCTTAGTAAGTATATGTGCACTATACTTCATGTGCTTGCCAGACTAATAGGGCAATTCACTCTTAGTGTAACTGTTTCACACTACCTACTATAAATTAAACTACAACTGGTGAAAATCCAGAATAAAAAGCTGGGACACAAGCAATCACAAGGCATTCTGAGACAAATGCACAAACAACAGCGCTCTAAAGAACTTTTAGATATATCTCAGTGTAAACGAAAGAGCTATCTAGTCAAATCAACTGTTTCTTAACCTTTTTCAAAATGCTGGCTTCATTTTATTGAAGTCTAAATCCAGTGATGTTTTTCTTTATCTCAGCTCAGAATTTAGACTTCTTGATTTATGTTTACCAGTAACAGAGTTAGTAGTGTGAACCAGAAAATTCTGAATCCCTCAAGAACAGAGAATGCAGAAGTTGCTTTTAAAAAAACATGTATTACTATGTTGAATAAACATAACTTGGAAATCAAGGCTCTAAATGGGTAATTTCCTAGATAATTAAAGCTACAGTTCTAAAGACCAGTTTTCTAAAGTGCTTTTACAGGACTGGGGTAATTTGAAAACAAAGTTTACCAGTATGCCATAACAGTATTACTAATAAACACATCACCACCTTTTGACAAAGTAGTAATCTAATGGAAACAGCAGCACAAATTTGTAACTGACTCACTAAAGTGATATGGTGGTGCCCTCTGGTGGTTCCACTGAGCATGTGACCCTGATGCTGCATATCTTGTGACACAAAGTAGGAGAATTTTTTTAAAACTACAATTAACACAAAGGAATGAACATTGTGTTTCTGAGTATCTTTTTCTTTTTTGCTTTCAAGCACATAGGTAATGCAATATGTCCCTGAGAAGAATTCCCAGGAATCAGGCTGATAGTACAGGAATCTTGGTAAACTTGACGATGGCAGAGATTTACACCTTGGTTCTAGACCTTAACTGAGAGCTTTTTGCATTCTCTAGCTTGGCTTTTAAGTCTAAGGGTCTCTCAAAAAACCTCACCAAGGCTGGTTCATTTAACAGGGAAGCAAGAATCTGCTCAAATGCAAAAGACCACTGGTGTTCTTCCCTGGGAGAGGAAGGACCTTTCTCCACATTGCTGTCTGCATCCCCCTCACGGGGGCCAGAATCACAGGCCATGCCAGAGAACTCTTTGGCTGATGATGTCGGGCTGTGGAGTTTCCTTCCAACTTCTTCCATCCTGAGCAAAAGGTTGGTGACAATAGCAATGGCTTGATATAGTGACTCTTCTTCAGGGTCCTCATGAAATAAATTATACAGGGTCTTTGAAAACTGAATAAATTGTGACTAGAAGACACAAGTTGGAAATTTAACATGAGACTTAGTGAATATAAATGGAACTTAGAAGTGGATAGAATTCTGAATGAAATTTATAATACATAAATGTCACCATAGAACTGAAGACTGATTCCATGATATATCTTTGCTCTAGGGAGGTAAGTATGCACCATGGAAAAACATTTCATTTAAGCCCTTTCACACACTGCCAAACTGAACAACAGCATATCCACACTAATTCTTGGCAGTTGGCTTACTAGGATTATTTGCTGTTGGGTGACATTTTACACAAAGTTCCATATTTTCTTCTATGTAATTCTCATCAATCAATTTTAAGAAAAGGATTAAGGACTTCCATTTGCTATCAAAGGGCTACAGTGGACACTCAGGTAAGATGATTTAGGGAAGAATGACTTTTGGGACATATCTAGTAGTGCAAGAACTCTAAGAAATTCCTTTGGATGTGCTTGTTTTTAAAGGCAGATACAGGGCCAAAATTAAGAGAATCTAAGTTTACTAACTGACTCCAGATAATTCTGAATATTACTAGAAAATTAAAGCTATTCAAATCCAGGAGTTAGTTCTCCAAATCAGTAGTTCAACCTTACAAGTTTGTATGTACAGAAAATAAGTACAAATAATATGCCTCATAAGATATATTATACAATGATTTACCCTTCCTTTTGCAGTACTGTTCATGTATCATGAATTTAGAAAAAGTATTCCAAGTTGGCTTATTTTATAAAGCATTTATTTAACTATCAAACTGGAAAGTCCATTAGGACTCTTTAAGCTATTGATAGTTTCGTTTTGGTAAAGTTCCAGGGAACTTCAGTATCTGCACTAAGTCACCTTTCTTTTAAGACTATAAAAGCATATGGGCAATGTGTAGAAGGAGATCAATTTAAATAATGCCTGCATCACCTATACAGCATCAAATACAAGATAATCGGGAATTAAAGTGAAATCTATTGTAGTAATTTCTTAGTAGCTAGCAACAGATTTGACATTTGGTAGGCACTAACTAAATATCTATTTGATACATGTATGGTTTTAATGCTGAAATATGTCATATATACAAATTTTTCTATAGAAACACTAAATGCATTTAAGTGTTTAAGGTATAAAATAATTCAAAAAAATTGTTCACCTCTTTCATGATAACCTGAATCTTATAAAGATGATAACCTGCAGATTATTTAACTATTTTCGTAATAGTATGTAAGTTCTTTTCTTTTCCTTTTCTTTTGTGGTATCAGTAAATGAACCATGGGCTTCATACCTCACATTAATACAAAACAATTTAAGCATTTTCACCTAGAAAATTCTATACCTGATTCATTCTTGGTAAATCTTTAATGTTTTCTTCTTTTTTAAGAAGCTCATCTTGCCATTGACTTAAATAAGCTTGAATGTCAATTTTTCCTTTGCCTGAATGAAAGAAATAAAGATTTTTTAGAATGAACAACTCATAATATATCCCCAAATCTCAAAAAGAATAACTGAATTTGAAAGATATTTCTCTGAGGTAAAAGAGTCCATCTCTTTAGTCCAGGACATGATCTGAATTTAGCTTTGATCTCACTCACTGGCTTTCAGAACATATTCTCCACTTCCACTTAGACCAAATCTTTTACTTTGGAAAACTTGGGAGAACAGCAAAAATACAGAAAAAGGGGAAAATGATGTATTTAGATTAAAACAGCACATTTTGATCCAACAATAAATGCCATGTAGTCATACTCATATATCCTACTTTCTAAATTAAATTATTCATATGCATATATGAAAGTGGTCAATGGTGGCTCCTTTTCAAAAATTGAAAACACTACTATTGATTCATTTGTTTAAAGGGTTCAGTCAAGATGATAGTTGTGTGATCTTGAAATTCTTATTTAAATTTTCATGTACACTGGGTAAAATACTGAAGGAGTTAATTTTATTTTTTTGAGAAAGGGTTTCTGTGTATAGCTTTGTAGACCAGGCTGGCCTCAAACTCACAGAGATTTGGCTGCCTCAGTCTCATGAGTGCTGTGATTAAAGGCGTGTGTCACCACCGCCTGGCCATGCTCCATTCTTTTTTCCCCCATTTTTTAAAAATTTAAATTAGAAACAAGCTTCTTGCCGGGCTTTGGTGGCACACGCCTTTAATCCCAGCACTCAGGAGGTAGAGGCAGGCAAATCTCTGTGAGTTTGAGGCCCGTCTGGTTTACAGAGTGAGATCCAGGACAGCCTCCAAAACAATACAGAGAAACTCTGTCTCGAAAAACCAAAAATACCCCAAAGAAACAATCTTCTTTTACATGTCAATTCCAGTTCCCTCTATCTCCCCTCCTCCCCTGCCCCCCAATGACCCCCTATACAATCCCCTTTCTGCTCCCCAGGGAAGGTGAGGCCTTCCATGGGAGATATTCAAAGTCTATCATATCATTTGGAGCAGGGCCTAAGCTGTTCCCTAGGCTAAGAGAGTCTCCCTCTATGTGGAGTGGGCTCCCAAAGTCCATTCATGTACTAGGGATAAATACTGATCCACTACCAGAGGCCCCATAGATTAACCATGCCTCCAAAAAGATATCAATGTTCAGGGGGTCTGGATCAGTCCTATGCTGGTTTTTGAGCTGTCAATCTGGGATCCATGAGCTCCCACTTGCTCAGGTCAGCTGTTTCTGTGGGTTTCTCCAGCCTGGTCTTGACCCCTTTGCTCATCATTCCTCCCTCTCTGCAACTGGATTATTCTTTTATGCTGCATTTGTTTAACTCTGTGAAGCTGTGTTACTTTACCTGTCTAAAACAACTGATTGAACTAATAAAGAGCTGAATGTCCAATAGCTAGGCAGGAGAAAGGATAGGCAGAGCTGTCAGGCAGAGAGAATAAATAGGAGGAGAAATCTGGGAAGAGAAGATCAAGATGTGAGAGAAGGAGAAGGAGAGGAAGACATCAGGGGACAACCACTACCCACACAGAAATCCACAGAGTAAGAAGTAAAGAAAGGTATATAGAATAGAGAAAGACAAAAGCCCAGAGATAAACGGTACTCAGGATAATTTGAGTTAAAGAAAGCTGACTAGAAATAAGCCAAGCTAAGGCCAGTCATTCATAAGAAAGAATAGGCCTCCATATATTTATTTGGGAGTTGGGTGGTGGGCCCCCAAAGAACCAAAAGACTAAAAAACCACTACAATCTTCAGGAATTATTTTTAACTAAATGTTTAATAATATAGAATGATGATCTTTAGATAGATAATTTCATAGTCTATCAAAATATCAGCTGTGCATATTACTTTATTCAATTCTCTGCATTTCTCTTATTTTAAAGAAATATTTCTTAAATTATCCTAAAATTTACATGTTAATTTTTTGTGGCATCACAGCCTGCAATGAAAAAACACTGGAAACCTCTTAAATGTCCATTAGTATTGAGCTAGTAATTGAGACAAATTGTGTTGCAATCATGAAATGTTCTGTTCCCATTAAAAGTCAAAAGGAAGATCAAAATGAATCCACATGGAAATTTATCCGTGATATATTAAAAACATAAAAACCACCCAGTAGAGCAGTGTTTAAAGATATTTGAAAAAGAGAGGATGTCTACATATGTTTATGTATACAAAGAAACAAGGCTGAAAAGGATACAGCCAAAACTGTTTACAGCCTTTACTTCTGGCTGGGTTACTGTGAGGGTAAGAAAGAGCACATGCCACCTGAATCTCTGCCACGACGCTTGCCTATTATTTTTGTAATTAAAATAAAATCTTTAAAATAATAAAAATGAATATGGATCATTTACTATTCAACTTTTATAACTTCTGAGATGTATCACAAGAAGAAGAAGTAATAAATTGTTATAGCAACATAATGTAACAATAATCATATTAGGACAAATCCAAAGACTTTAAAGAACTTTCCCTCCTTCCCCTCATAGCTATTTATAGAATTAATAATTGAATGAATTGAAGGATATTCCTAGATTGTTAACACAGTACCTTTTTCAGGGATATTTTTTCCTGATTCTGTTTCCTTCTCATCTGCATGCTTGGAAACTAAAGGGAAAAGAAGGCAACTCCATATTGTAACATGTTTAACAATTATCTTTTAAAAGTAATATTTTATACAAAGACTTATGAGCATTTATTACTTTTTTGACCCCCCAAAGCAAGTTTATGTGATCTGACCACCTGACATTAGAATGCAAAGTATCAAAAATATTCATAGTAAAAGAAAAGGACACTGTATATTAATATTTAAAAGTCATAGAGGGCAATATATCAAATTTAAGTATTTGCTTCTGAGTGATAGTTTCTCCATTTGATTGCCTTCAAATGAAGATGCATTACGTTTATTATTGGGAGGAAAGCCCCATACATAATGGACATCTGAGGAACAAGCCGCATGTCCCGAGTAAGGCAACAACTCTCTGTGAAACCCTGTACAATTCACTTCTTTATGTACTCACTGCTCTTCTATATAAAGTGGGCAGACTTAGATGCTTTTTGAGGCTTTGTAATGCTCACTTTACATACAGTGACCAAATAGACATATAAATTGTCTTTGTTAGACCATGTGCCTATGAAAATAAAGCAAATGACACACACGAGTGTGCATCACTTGCAATTTCTGTGAGAAAAGCAGATTCATTCTTGTGTCTTACACTTGATTTAAGGAGTACTCACTATCTAAGCTGTGGTTTATAAATCATCGACGATTCTATCACCTTCAATGCCCTTTATCAAAGCATAAAAATGGTATGATACAGCCTAGAAATTTCTTTAATACAATTAAAAGCAAAAATATGTTATATATACTTTCTTTTAAATAATAGGAAATTTAAAAAATAAAAATTATTATAGTATAATCAGTCAAATATTTACGAACTATGCTAACTGCTACTGTAGGGACTAAGTGATAGGTACAGTGACCACCAAGTCAGGAAAGCTCCACAAGTAGCCAGTCATTAAGACGCCCATTGTTCTATCTACCTGGAAGACAGAGGCAGGATGATTATTGGAGGGCAAGACTTTGAGATCAGTCTGAGAAATACAGCAACTCAAAACAACACAAATTCGCCGGGCGGTGGTGGCGCACGCCTTTAATCCCAGCACTCAGGAGGCAGAGGCAGGCGGATCTCTGTGAATTTGAGGCCAGGCTGGACCGACAGACTCCAAAACAATACAGAGAAACCCTGTCTCGTAAAACCAAAAAATACCCACACAAATTCAGCTAAAAGTTAAGATGAATATTTACCGTGGAGCCGACTGAAATAAAGTAATTCTTCTGTTGAAAGCTCATCGCCCTTTGACGAAGTCTTAGACATCACTTCAGTGTAAGCTGAAAGCATATAACCCAAATCACATTTACTAGCAATGTTGGACAGAGAAGTGGTTCTTACACGCAGACAAATTGAAGAGTAGACATTAGATGAAGTGTATAAGAAATGTGCACATACAGAAGCTAAGCAATAGTGTAGAGACTACCTCGAATGCCTATTCCTGATAGTGAACTTGATGTCTATAACCATCCTGGAGCCTTCATACAGTGACTGATGGAAGCAGAGGCAAACACCCACAGTTAAATACTAAACAGAACCCAAGGAACCCAGCGACAGAGAGAGAGGAGCAAAGAGCAAATTGGCAAAGAATGGGCTGGCAAAACCAGCAGAGACAGCTGATCCGAACAGGGGAGAGCTCTTGGACCCCCAGACCGACAGCTGGGAGGCCAGCATGGGACTGATCCAGACCCCCTGAATGTGAGAGTCAATGAGGAGGCCTGGGCTACCTATGGGGTCCTGAGCAGTGGATCAGTGTTTATCCCTGGCATACAAACGGACTTCGTGTGTCCATAACACAAAGAGGATTGCTCTCTCTGCCTGGACTCTTAGGGAAGTGCCTGGACCCTACTCTGAATGAAATGACAGACTCTAATATCCCCTATGTGGAAGGAATTGGCAATAGGGTGGGAGGATGGGGGGGATGGGGGGAGTGCAGGAGGAAGGGAGGGAGAGGGAACTGGGATTGACATGTAAAACAAGCTATTTAAAAATTTTAAAATGTTAAAAAATAAATGTAAGAAGTGAAAAAAAAGAAATGTGCACATACAGAAATGTGGAAATAATATTGCTCTGCTCTGTTGTGTGGCAAATAACCCTTTACTCACTTTGAGTTCTAGGGAGCACTTGCTTTATAGTAGTTTTCTTAGAGTCATGATGGATTGAAAGAAGAAAATCTGGTGTTTGGATTATGTCTGACCATGAAATCTTAAAACTCCCGCACCACCAAGGAAACATGAAGCTGAGTGTTTCACTTTGTTTTCCACTGTTATTCAACAAAACACAGTGTTTCCTAATTTATATTTTACCCTATTTAATATTCCTATATTCAATTGCTCTGCCAGCAATGTATGAAATGTAAAATTTAAACATTCAAGTGGTAACATAATTAATAAAATTTATTCTCGTAATCCAATTATTATGTTGTTTGTCTTTTGTTTTCTGATGCTGTGTGATTTGGATTTTGAAGGATTAAAGATGTTTTTTGTTTGCTGGTCTGCTAAGCAACGATTCTTGTTAACCTGAGAAGCCTTTAAAAGCTTTAAAAGGAAGCCAGGGAGAGCATTAGACAAATTATGAGATACTATTTGATTTTATGAATGACCATATCCAAGCTACTTTTTGCAATATTTCTTTTCAGAGTAGGGATGTGTTGGGAAGTAATCTTGGGGACAGTAAAAAACATTTTTTATGAAAACTGGAAGGGCATGGTGACTTTGAGAATGTATAGTAGAACAGAAAAAAGAGCTTTTGAGTCAGATGGATCTCATATAAAGTATGTGATTTTTAGAACATAATTGAACCTCACAGTTTCCTTTTTTAAAAATTGGAAGGATAATATAATCTTTCAAAGATTATGAGGCTAAAATAAGAGAGTGCATATAAAATCTATTTTAATGTGTGTGGTTATGCATGCTTTCATTCATGAGCCCGGGTAAACATGTGGAATCCTAAGGTTGACATCAGGTATAAACTGAATGTTGTGACATAGCACTTGCCAATTTGTACCCATCTGCAAGTTTAGCAATCTGCCTAAAGAGTATCTCTATTCTCTATTCTAATGACAGTGACAGCAGAAATTCACCATTATTCCAATATTTCAATGATAACTAATTTCTTGTACAAGCTATCATTTTAGAGCTAGCTAGTTGGACACAGTGGCACATACATGACAGCCTTGCACTTCTGAGGCTGAAGTCGGTTTGGGATACACATTGAGACCCTACCTCAAACTGTATACATCTATATATTCATATATAAACAAATAATTTCCTACTAACAGGAAACTGAGGATCCACCTGTTACACAGAATCTCTTCCTCAGATTTCATTCCATCTATATCTATATCTATATCTATATCTATATCTATATCTATATCTATATCTACACCAGCAAAGATACTAGCAATATTACTTGAGGGCTACAATGAAAAAAATAATCTTTTGTCATGTAGAAAATGGTTTTGTTTGTTAAAATGAAATTATATGTGCAACGGTGCCTGTTACAATGGAATGAACTCTTACTATATACCCACTTACTATATACAATTAAAGACTGTTAATTCTTACCTGGAGGTATATGCAGCTTAAAAAGCAGCTTAAGCTTCTCAGTAAAACTTCCATTGTACATTATATCTGTTCAATAAAATTCAGTTATAAAAATTATGTATCTAAACATTTAACCAATTCCAACCAAAGCAATTAAAATAGACAGTAATCAGGAATTATGATCCAAAACATGGTCTCTTCCTTTTTTTCTTTTCTTTTCAAGACACGGTTTCTCTGTGTAGCAGCTCTGGCTGTCCTGGAACTCACTCTGTAAGGCAGGCTGGCCTCAAGCTCAAAGGGATCTGCCTGTCTCTTCCTCCTGAGTGCTGGGATTAAAGGTGGGCACCATCACCACCTCACAACATGGTATTTCCTAAGCTAACAGTTAACTACTCAATCAGTAAGATTTTTCTCTTTCAAACACATAACCTGAAATACTGTATCAGGGGAAAAACCTGTTCTCTTCACTAGCTACTTTATCCCAGCATCACATTTCTCTTTTCTTTTGAATGAGGCCTTATGATTCATTTGAGGAAAGAACTGCTCTTCAAGATAATCTGAAAAGAAATCATTGCTGGGGGTATGCAAAACAAAGGAACAAAAGCTACAATGCATCAACTATATGCACAACTCATTTGTTTAGTATTTCTGTAACACTTATCTAGGCTATGTGGTTAGAATTTTACTCAAGGGAAAATCTTTCTGTTGCATCTATCTGATGTGGGAAAATCCTAGACAGTCTCTTCCTTCCTGTTAAAACATTAAAACATCAAACAGCTTGCATCTTTGAGAGGGTTGGGGCAAAAAGAAATCAATATGTGGGCCTGGAGAGATAGCTCAGTGGTTAAGAACACTGGATGCTCTTCCAGAGGAGCAGGGTTCAATTCCCAGCACCCACATAAAGCTCACAACTGTCTGTAGCTCCATTTCCTGGGGATCTCACACAGTCACACAGATATACATATAGGCTAAACATTAAAGCATATAAAATAAAAGCAAATCATAAAAAGGAGATCAATACACATAGGCTTAGCAGAAAACACATTTTAAAAGCCTCATAATTACTAAACCTGAAGACAATGTAATCGAGAGTGAAAAAAATCTACCCTAAACTAGCAGTAATCATCAATAGTAAAAATATTTTTTGGGTGCTAGACAACTTTTAGGGGGATGGAGAATATATTTATGTTTTGCTTTAGAAAGTTGAAGGGCATCAGCCTACCAATTGCAGAGGAGAATTCTTTGAAGTTTATAAGGCAATCAGAGTTTTCGTCCAACAATCTGAATGTCCATAAAGCCAGTGAGTCTCTGTTTGCTGAATGAGCCCAGGGACTCAACAGGTGATACAACACTCTGAACTGCTGGCAGTCAATCTGATATTGTTCCAAATATGACAAACTGGGGTCATGATGCTTCAATCCTGGACAACTCAAATACCAATAACAAGATATAAACAGCTCTTTCTATGAAAAACAAATAAAAAAGCAAAGTCATTAAATCAGAAAAAAGATTTTTAAAAACATGTCTGTTAAAACATAAAAAATATGTAAGAGTAATTGCAATAAAATTCTGCTAAAAGATTATTTTTCATTAAAGAGGAACAACCGTACCTTAAAAATGACATAAAGTTCTTCCAATTCCAAAAGATTCATTTTCACATCTTGTGATACAACACGCAACTTTAAAAAGATTAAAAACAATTTAGACTGTAATATTTCCTTTCAAAAAGTCTTTGAATTCACTTGAAGTTTTCCTCTACAAGTATAAAATATTTACTTTTCTTTTTTTAAACCTACACATCAATTTTTATTGCAGCTCTTACAATTGTCAAGTTATTTCTTGATTTTTTTAACTGCTGAATTAACCTTGTGTTTCTGATATAACTACTACTTGATTTAGTGTACTATTATATTAATAATATAATACTATGTCATATATTATTAATATATAGCTATATTAATACTTTGTCATTTAATTTAAAAAGTAAAATAGATCTTGGTGTGATAAAAGATAGCATAAATAAATATCAGTGAGAAGAAAAGTGTAACATATAGGCTGACAAAATGGCTCAGTGGATAAAGGTACTTGCTACCAAGAATGATGGTCTGAGTTCAATCCCAGGGACCCATGTAAATAGAAAGAACCAACTGTCATAATTGGTACTCTGGCTTCCACGTGGATGCTACAGCATATGAGTGCATCCCTCCAATAAATAAATGCAATAAAATGTAAAAAGGATAACATATAAATATGGATATAGAAGTCATTAAGGTATTCATCATGCAGAATGTAGCATTTAATACCTATCAAATGAATTCCAAATTGTTATGCAAAAGTATCTGAAAATTGAGATAAAACAGATAATACCCTTGGGAAATATAAGTCACCAAAATTAACTGAATGTGCAAACAATTTGAATAGACAGAACAGAAATGGTAATCAAAGAGCTACCATCACCAGACATCAGCAGACTCAAAGGTTTTATAGGCTTGTTTTCTCAAACTTTCTAATAACAGTTAACTCCTGTGTTTGCGAAAGTATTTCAGAGCATGAAAAAATGAGTTCCCTACAAAATCTATTACATATCATACAAAATTGATATAAAATTAGCATTCACAAAAAATTCTTAACTGGGCATGGTGGTTCACACCTTTAATCCTAATACTCGGGAGGCAAAGATAGGCAGTTCTCTGTGAGTTTCAGGGCAGTCTGGTCTACAGAGCCAGCTCCAGGCCAGCTAGGGCTACATACTGAGACAATGTCTCTTAAAAAGCAAAAGAAATTCTATAATCAATGTAATTTTAACACAGATGCAGAGAACCTTGCTAATCTCTTTGTTCAAATGATCAAAATAGAACATGAGTGATACTACAGCCAAATAAGAGTCATTAAAATGACTTGACTTGTTCCTGGTTTTAGGGGAATTGCTTTGATTTTTCTCTCCATTTAATTTGAAGTTGGCAATTGACTTGGTGGATATTGCTTTTTATTATGTTTAGGTATGTCCTGTATATCCCTGATCTCTCCAAGACTTTTATCATGAAGGGGTATTGGATTTTGTCAAAGGCTTTTTCAGCATCTAATGAGATGATCATATAGTTTTTTTTCTTTCAGTTTATTTGTATGTTTAGTAGTTGCCTATGGAACCATAGAAATACTTTAAGAATGAATTCTGTTTTATACACTTTTAACTTTCTTTTAGGTATTATAGAAAAATAATATTGGAAACATTTGCTATTATGACAGTTAGCTATCTTTAAAATTTTAGTATTTAATTATGTGTATATGTATATCTGTGGGTTTGAATGCATTTCAGTGCAATGCCTGTGGAAGCCAGAAGTGGGTGCTGAATTCACTGTTGCTGCAGTTAGAAGTGATTGTGAGCAGCTGGATTTGGATGCTAGGAACCAAACTTGAGTCCTCCAGAAGAGCAGTACATTTTCTTAATCACTGAGCCACTTCTCCAGCCCAAGCTATGCTCACTGAAGCGTCATGCCACAAATGTTTACTGCTCAAATGCCTACGTTGTAGCATTCAGCACCTTCACACTACAGTTGAAGGTCAAGTAATAGAAAACATGTTGAAATAAACACAATCATTCAGCCAGAAGAAAACAACATTTCTCCTCTAAAAACTTACAAGGCAAGCCAAGGCAAGAACCCAGCTCTAAAAGTTAGCCTCTTTCATTTTATTCACATGGGAGGTTAATTTTAAAGGAAGTTAAATAAAAGTTACTTCAGAGTCTCCCCCCTGGGTGTATACTCACCACATTCTGCTTTGTTGTTTCCTCCAGGGTCTGTATCACATATAACCTATTTCGACAGCGCATGCTATGTATATCTTCATAGCGGATACTACCATATTTCTGCAAGAAATGATTTCAGGGGATATTCATTCGTAATAAATAGCCACTTCTCTTACAATTGAATTTTATCGGCCTCAATTTTCCGAGGCTTTGATTCTATTTCTAGCTATTTTCCTGATCTGTTCAGTGACTTTGCACGTTTCCACCTCAATATTTTTATATATGTATGTTCACTGGAGAAAACTGTATCTACTATGTGTCTTGGCTAAGAACATTGGTCAAAGTCTTAGTCTGCAAAAGAGAATCGGTTTTAACTTTTTATAGGCTGATACACATTTAAAAGTGGTCATCATTTGTGAAGGCAAGTGATTTTACTATCACTTAATGAAAAATAAATTGAGGCAGAAGTTATACAACCTAGGATCAATTCACAGAACTCAGTGCTATAGTGCAGTTAGATTTTAAGTTATTTCTTTATTTGCATTGTTATCTCATTCTTAATATACAATATGTAAATATTATTTATGGAACATAAATCTTACCTCATTGGATTCTCTAATCAAATCTGTAATATCCACTTTAGTATGACTGCATTTTTCATCGATATTTGAACCCTGCTGAACATTTGAAGGCAATGGGCTATCCTTATTAATGACATTGTCAAAGAACCTATCCAAAAGTGACAATAATATAAGAATTAGTGAAACTAAAATAGTTGTAGCAGAGAAAATCACAGCTAATGTCTCCTAAAGTCAGTCAGAGGTCAATTTTAACTGAAAGCACAAGGGAAGGAGTATGAAGAAGAATCTAAAGATGATTGGGAATTAGGAAAATGGATAGAGGGAATGAGATACAAAAATTACTTGTAGAGTGAGAATGTGAACAGGTTCAGTGCATACTTAGGAAAAGCTTCAAATCCATTCAGAATAGAATGAATATCAGGTCTATAGAGGCTTGAAAGGGGAAACCAGTTTAAAAAAGGAAAACTGGCTGGGTGGTGGTGGCACACGCCTGTAATCCCAGCACTCGGGAGGCAGAGGCAGGCGGATCTCTGTGAGTTCGAGGCCGGGCTGGTCTACAAGAGCTAGTTCCAGGACAACCTCCAAAACCACAGAGAAACCCTTTCTCGAAAAACCAAAAAAAAAAAGAAAAGAAAAGAAAAGAAAAGAAAACTGAGGCCTTATCTTAGAGTTCTGAATGCCAAACGGAGATGTCTAAATTATTCTGTACAGAATGAGGTTTGACGAAGCATTACAACAGTTTCCAATTCAAGTTTCAGTTGCTTAACTCACAGAAATTATGTATATGCATCTATATTTAAAACTCCATGTGCTCCAATACAAAGTCTCATTCATACAAAATTTACCAGGAAAATAAAATTCAATGACCTGACTAATACTACCTGGAAACCAGGATAATTTTCCCTCCTGGACACTTTAACATCACTGACTAGCTCTTTGCCCCTCAGCTTTCTTCCTATATAGACACGTTCTAGTTTAAAATACAAGTACTAATGTTATGAGTTACTGAATTAATGACGTTAGCACAGATATGTAAGCAACCTAACTTTATATCAAAGTGATTTACTTTCTTTGCACTCCATTCTTTGCACTCTTTTTGAAAACAAAGGGCAGGGCTTTGGGCTTGGCTTTGTCTTTCAAGCAGCTCTGTGACTTAAAGCAAATTGCTTGAAGTTTCTAGGACTCAGTTTCCTCACTGGTAAACTAAGCAGACCGAACAACTTACTCACTCAGATCTCCACTGGATTTAAAATTTTTTAATTTTACGGATGTGTTTGCATGTTTATATGCCATACATGCTGTTGGGAAGACCGTGGCGGCAGGAAGAGGCCTGCAGCTGGAGGGAAGCCTGCCATGGGTGCAGTGAATAGAACTCATTTGGCATAGCAACAAACATTGTCAATTGCTAAGCCATCTCCCCGGGCCCACCTCCAGATTTAAATGCTACAGTTCCTACAATACCTGTTCAGTGCCGTCACAGCTTCAGCATCGTCTTTACATGTCAGAAGTTTGTCCAAATTATAGTCAAGTACTGCCAACCCCAGTTGTAAAATGGCCTTTATCCCATCATAGAAGAAACAGTCCACCACATTCACTGCACTTTCAATAGGTAGCACACTAATGAAAAGTGTGAGGAACCATGAGAGAGAGACTGAGGAAAAGAAGGTCATATCAGTCATGTGTTCGGTCAGCTGAGGAAGGTGATCCCTAATAAGTTCTTCAAACACTGCCTGATCCACCAAGGCACCTGGAAAACATCAAAGCAAGTTAAAAACAAAGGACCACCTTGCCTTGCAAAAAGCTTTCTTTGTCTCCACTTTCATTAGCTTCCTGACACAGCTCATCTCCCTTCCTTCAAATAGGAGCCCTTTAGTGCTTTTTCTATAATTTGAGCATCTCTGCAACTGCTAGTTGAGTGTCATGAACCTAAGAACACTTGAGAAATTCAATTTCAATTCATTTGAGGGGTCACTGAGTCTTTCTTACATCTAGAGACATACACTAGATACTATTAATGATGTGGGATCATCTTCAAAGAATTGAGTATCTTTTGTGGCGGTAGGGTGTAACTCAGGGCCTGTGCATAACCGGCAAACATGCTACCACTGAGCTACATCCTTAGTCCTGAAATAATTCAATATTCAGAGAAGTAAAGATAAATGCACACATAACTTATAACAAAAGGTAACATAATCAGGACCTAGGCACAGTACTGAAAACTTACGAAGGTACAAAGGATACATTATGTATAGGTATTAAAATGGGATTACAGATCTTTATATATTTTATAACTAAAGATATTATCACACAATTAACAATGAAAAATTGATTTTTATATGTAAAGTAATGTAAATATGGAGACTTTAAGTTGATTCAAATCTCCCTCCCACCAAGAAACTATTAAAAACTTCCTTAATATCTCTGGATGTCTCAAATCATCATTTTGTCAATGTAGTGTTTATAAACTCAAATTAAAATTTCCGTTTCATTACAGAGCAGATCAGGTCCTTAATTTTGAAAAAGTAAAATATGAAACATTTTTCCAACTACACATTCAATATTCGCAGGTCTTTGCCCAAGAGCATCAGTCAACGTGGCATTTTGATATTGTTTGTGTTTTCTGCCTATCTCCATCTAACTTGACAACTCTTCAATAAGAAGCCAGGCTCAGTGGCACATGTCTGTAATCTCAGCACTTGGGAAGCTGAGGAAGGAAGATTGCTAGTTAAAGCTACACACACCGAGCTATACAGCTGGACCTTGTCTCAACAAATGGTCCCCCAGTCCACAAACAAAAATATTTATGAATCGAGTAATTTCATGGGTTAGTAAGTTATCATGAAAGCAGATTTGTTATAAAAAAGCAAGCTAGTTCTAGTATGCTTGCTCTGTCTGGTCATATGATATTCTATGTCACATGGTTATAATGCAATAAGACCCTGACAACACACTGAACAGATGTTGGCACCACGCTCTTGAACTTCCCAGACTCTAGGCCCACCAATTAACATAATATAAATTACTGTTTGTGCCATTTGGTGATAGCAGCAAGAACAGATTAAGCCGGCATTCATGTGTAGATATATACATGTATGTTTGTGAGTATTATTCTTTTTGTATTTGTTTTTACCAATGATTCGACGATTAAAATAATCAGGCAACATTCGTTCACATACAGCAACCAAAAGCCAAAAAGCTTCTTCTTCTTTTGCATATAGAAGCAATACTGAAGTCAAAATGTTCATTGCCTAAATTTCATAGAAAGGAAACAAAATGTGATTATTGCTTAGGTAATAACTGCATTTCTTCTTTAAGCATAGAACTTTTGAATAGCAATAATGACAAGTGATAAAACAATAATGGCAATATAAGGACTTGAAACTAATCCAAAGCAAAACAGTGTATAGTTAGGCTAACAATTGCTAGTCAGGTATCTTATATATCAATATTAAAGGGAAAGGAAGCAGTAATATAATGGATATAAAATACTATAAAGAAAATCCAATTAGGCTGATTTTAATGGGTTAAAATATCTTAATTATTGTGAGTCTTTAAAACAAAACATATAATTGTGGATGATACTCTAATATTGAAGAAAACAACTTTATAATAATCTCCTGGAGATTACCTCTTAGATATCAAATCAAATTCATTACTTCACTATTCACAAAACTAAATATCACATCCCCATTAAATACTTTGTCTTCTTAGTTGTTCCAATTTTCATTACTGTAGAAGAAACTCTTTATCTGGTACATGCAATTTTGATTCAAATCCTAGAGTTTCTACTAGCAAAATGTTTTTTTACATATATTCTTTCTTCTCCATTTTCATTGCTACCTAACTTTCTGCTTATACTGGAGGGAAGAGAATGGGCTTGGGTTCTTTCAATGGACCATTTGTAGAGGACTGCAATTATTGAATCTGTCTGGCACTTCTCTAGACTTCATTTACAAAGCTGTCTTTATTTGACCTGACACAGAGTTCATCTAACACAAAGGCCCTCTCCCAGAAGTGTTTGTTAAAAATAATCAGAGGCAGCTATTGAGCATGTGGTTGCCCGAGGCGATGGGCCAAAAGAAATTAATGACAACATTTGAAGACAATCTAGCGGCTTTGAAAAACTCTAGCATATCCTTAGGAATCTAGCAGTCCATGTTCATGTATATTGCTTTGGAGATGTTTAGATCTTTATGTATATTTTTTCTGAGGTGCTGGGGATGAAAGCCACGGCTTCGTGCATGCTTGGCAAGCACTGTATCACTGAGCAATATTACAGCATGTATGTATGCTAAGAAAGAAGACCAAGCTCTCACCACTGGCTAAGTTTTGGGCTTTTGACAATCATAAACTGGCAGAGACTAGAAAAAGAAAAGAAGGCTTAACATCATCTGAGATACCATCTTATTCCTGTCAGAATGGCTAAAATAAAAAACACCAATGAGCCGGGTGGTGGTGGCGCACGCCTTTAATCCCAGCACTCGGGAGGCAGAGGCAGGCGGATCTTTGTGCGTTCGAGGCCAGGCTGGACCGATAGCCTCCGAAACAATACAGAGAAACCCTGTCTCGTAAAAACCAAAAAAAACCAAAAAAACAAAACAAAACAAAAAACAAAACACCAATGATAGTTTATGCTGGAGAGGATAAGGAGAAAGGGGAACGAACACTCCTCCACTGCTGATGGGAGTGCCAAATTGTACAGCCACTTTGGAAATCAATGTGGAGTTTCCTCAGGAAAATGGGAATCAGTTTACCACAAGTCCCAGCAATTCCACTATTAGGCATATACCAAAAGAGGCACATTCATACAACAAAGACATCTGTTTCATTATGTTCATAGCAGCATTATTTGTAATAGTCAGAACCTGGAAGCAACTTAGATGCCCCTCAACTGAAGAGTGGATAGAAAAAAATGTGGTACATTTACACAATGGACTACTACTCAGCAGGAAAAAAACATGGAATCTTGAAATTTGCAGGCAAATGGATGGCACTAGAAGAAACCATCCTGAGTGAGGTAACCCAGTCACAAAAAGACAAACAATGTATGTACTCACTCATGTATGGATTTTAGACATGAACCAGGGGAATGCCAGCCTACAATCCCACCACCAGAGAGTCTGGGAAACAGGGAGGATCCTAAGAGAGACAAACATGGTCCCCCAGAGAAGGGGAAAGGGACAAGATCTCCTGAGCTAATTGGGAGCATGGGGGAGGGGAAAGGGAGTAAGGAGAAAGAGAAGGGGAGAAGAGGAGGACATGAGGGACCAGGAAGATTGAGTCAGGGTAAGAATAGAGGAGACCAAGAAAGAGGTATCTTAATAGAAGGAGCCATTATAGGTTTAAAGAGAAATCTGGCACTCAGGAATTGTACAGAGATCCACAAGGATGATCCCAACGAACAATCTAAGCAATAGTGGAGAGGCTACTTTAAATGTTCTTCCCTGATAATGAGATTAATGACTATCTTATATGTCATCCTAGAGCCTTCATCCAGTAGCTGATGGAAGCATAAGCAGATACCCACAGTTAAACACTGAGCCGAACTCCTGGAATCCAGTTGCAGAGAGGGAGGAGTGATGAGCAAAGGGGTCAAGACTAGGCTGGTGAAACACACAGAAAAAACAGCTGACCTGAACAAAGGGGAGCTGATGGACCCCAGACCGATGGCTGGGAAACCAGCATAGGACTGATCCAGACCCCCTAAACAAGGATGTCAGTTAGGAGACCTGGGCAATCTATGGGGCCTCTGGTAGTGGATCAGTATTTATCCCTAGTGTACGAATGGACTTTGGGAGCCCACTCCACATAGAGGGATACTCTTTCAGCCTAGACACACGGGGGAGGGCCTAGGCGCTGCTCCAAATGATATGACAGACTTTGAAGATCCCCCATGGAAGGCTTTACCCTCCTGGGGAGCAGAAAGGGAATGAAATAGAGGGTCGGTGGAGGGCAGGGGAGGAGGGGAGGGAGAGGGAACTGGGATTTACATGCTTCTAATTTAAGTAAAAAATCATCATAATTTCAAAAAGGAAAGCTTAGTATCATCAGTCTTACTCAGCTGTGAAGCCTGTGAAGTACAATAATGGCTGGCTTTACCAAGACACTGTCCATTTGTGCAACAGTGGAACAAATATTGTGGGAGTAACCAACCACTTTCTAATTATGCTTATGGCCCATTCCACAAAATGAAAACCATACCTGAAACCATTATCAGACCGGGAACCCATAGCTAGAGAGATCATAGATCCTAGTAGAGAACCTACAATTATTATTCTGCCAAATGAACATGGAATTAAACCAATGCCTAATGATATCATCATATCTACACATTAAGGTATCTCCTAAGCCTCGTCAGAGAAACTTGCAGTAGATGATGATCAACATAGAAAGCCAGAACTAGCCGAAGTGCAGAGAATAAGAAATTATAGAATGTTCAAGCACAACTGTAACATATATACTATACCACTTCCTACAAAAACTCAGGGGTCATTGCAGAAGAGGGTAACAGGACAAGGGTAAGAGGCAGAGGTGGTGGACAACTACAAGGAAACAGTGTCTTCTGGATACAGCAGGGCATCTCCAAATATGAACTCACAGTGGTTGTGACAGCATTGCAAGACAAATACCAGCATGTAGAGGGTAGTTGAACATAAAGTTCCACAAAGTTTCAACCTTTGAGGAGCTATTGGCAATTCTTAGCTGCCTGGAGAGGAAGGGTCAGTTTTCTCAATGAATGCAGCCTTTGATACATGCCACAGTGGAAGGCCACACATCCAAGAATATTCAAGCCACACCAATTGACCTTGATAGAGCAGGGGAAGGAAAAAGAACACAAAGTTGGGCAGGAAGCGAAAGAAGATAAATCTGGGAAGAGTTGGGGTAGGAAGGGTAAATGTGATTAAAACATGTGCAAAATTCTCAAAGGATTAATGAAAATATATACTAAAGAAGATTTTCTTTTTTTATAAATTCAACAAATAAATTAGGATCACCTAAATATCTTACAATCAATATTCTTTAAAACTACATACCTTTAGCTAACTGAACAAAAAAGATAAAAAAGAGAGGGTGAACTCCAGTTACTGCCATCTAAAAAGAGGTAACATACAAATAACATTACAGAAATAAAAAGAATGTGGTGAACAACTGTGTGATAAATGTTTGATAAAATGGCCAATTTCTTTAAAAATATCAGCTACTAAAACCAGTTCTAGAAGAAAGAAAAGTCAGAATGGAGATACAATGAGAGACTGAAATCATAATGGAAACATTTCCTACAAAGACAACGAAGAACAGATGGCTTTATTGACATGTTCTATTAAACATATAAAGAAGGAAACCAGTCCTTCACAAACCATGTAAAAACTAAGAGCAAGAAACATAATCCTACTCATTCTAAGAAATTCTGTCACCAAAATTAGAAAAAGGTATTATGAAACAACTACACAGCATACTTTATGAATATGAATGTAAAATCCTCAACAAAACAATAAGAAACCAAACTCAAGAGCATATAAAAATACTATATACTAAGAGAAACTGGTATTTACCCTGGAAATGCAAGAGCAATGCAAAATATGAAAACCAATCAATGAAATATGTCATTTTAACAAAAAACACATAATAATCTTAGTAAACATAAAGAAAAAAAGAAGAAAAAATTTCATGAGGCCTCAGCCTTACAGAAAGAACTATTGGAAATTAAAGAAATTGGGAATATGAGAGGTGATCTTCCCCAGAGAAGATCATATCATATCAATGGTTATTCAGTACCAAATGGTCAACCCTGAAAACACAAGTAACGTTAAATGGACTGAACCGGTTATATTTAGGGATATATATGTATATAGATATATCCATGTGCTCCTGCTTCACCCACGGGAATAGTAAACCAGGGACCATTCGAGGGCCAGCTGCCTGTGCTTGGGGTCTACCACTGTGGCTACCATCCCGGAAGAGGGAGCCAAAGCACCCCACCATCGAAGTCTCCTGGTTCCACCTATGGGACTAGGTAAACCAGGGCCCATTCCTAGGCCGGCTGCCTGTGCTTGGGATCTGCCATTGCGGCTTCCATCCTGGCAGAGGGAGCCAATGCACCCCACCATCCTACTCTCCTGCTTTGCCCATGAGACTAAATCAACCAGGGCCTATATCCAGGCTGCCTTCCTGTGCCTCAGGTCTACCAATGGGGCTTCTATCCATTCTGGCGGGATACAAAGCACCCCAGCATCCTAGTCCATTTCTC